GTTTTGACTGATTCATTCACTTAGTGAGATCGAAGGTGATTTGCATAATGTGTTCACACTTTTGTGTTTGTTATACATTCAGTTCGGTTTTGCCTGGTTGACGTTGTTGTTTGATGATCGACACCTGTAAATGGCAACCATTCACTAATGTCATGTTTCAAAGATGTTATGTACGCGCCAGGAGTAGTTGCGCCCCGTTGTTGTATGTTGTGCTGAATTTTATTTGTTTTTCTGTTGGTTTCGAACTTACTACATTTTCTGAAGAAAGTAACTTGAAGCAAGATCATCATCCAACAGTTTATCTGCAGCTTTAATGTACGCAATTTTGGTATGTAAAATCGTATCTTCGTATATGTAAATTTCGAATTTTCGTGATTGTTGATTCAGGTTTGAGGATCTGGCCAATGATTTGTCGCAATGTTTCTTACGGTGCTCTGCTTGTCACGTCAATCGTGCATACGTTGACGGACTCTGATGTTTGAGGTCGATGAAGGCTGTTCCGATTTTCGAGGGTCGTGTGGTTCACATATCAGAGGCCGAACCGTCCTACGAACATATCTTGTTGAAGGTGGCTTATTTCGTTTACTGAACAGTTTTGATGACATGCCAGCGCCCTTGAAATAAATGCTTTCGTTCATTTTATGTGCTGAAGCCTCTCAGATTCACTCTTTTCTCTGATTTTAGTAGGAAATGATTCCCATGGGAACGTAAAGCCAAATTTGCATAACTGGTTGAAGGAAATAGAAATCGCGTCTCTGTTAACTAGTCAGAAAGTCATTTCTACTCTATAAAGAGATGACGAACCATAGGTAAGGAAAACGTAAACTGTCGACCTTTATATTGCTATGAAAGTGTTCGTGATGAACGGAAACCAAACGTTCGAAAGAATGGTGCGGGTGCGGTAGCGACTGTCGAACAATGAGCCGTTTCACGGGTAGCCTTCTTTGAGAGCTAGTACCCTTCAACAGTACAATTTTATTTACTGCTGGTAAATGAACAGTAACTGGTCGCCTTTCAGAATAACGATGTGACTATCGTCATAGTTCGTTATTAAAACCAGTTCTATATGGAACAAACAGTATTAACGAAAGAATATGTAGAATAAGCTGCCGACTAGCCATTTCAATGAAACCAAACTTTCACCAAGAGAACATTCCAGTTACAGCAAAAATGTGGCTAGTTGTTTGTTAAAATGACAATGAATCTGAGTTATGGCGACTGCTTAGTAGAATTTTGCTCGCAAAGTAAAATAACAGGAGTTTGTAAAAAAGGATATTGCAATGTCCTTTCATAATTCCATTGCGAAGAGTTCTTCGACTGCTCAGGCCTATGTTGATAGCTACGTAGCTACTCGTCGTGACGAACTACTGTGAAGTAGACAGAAAATGATCCGTGGAAGAGACGACGTGCCTCTCACCTCAGGGTGAGGTACTGTTAACACATCAGAAATGTCAGCATAGTTTAGTCGGTGCCTCTAACCGTCGTAATCTGTTGACAAAGCGCCATCCGTATAAAGCAATGGCGCATTGAATTGTAATTGACATCGCACTTTAAAACTTTTGGGATTGCAGCAGCTAATCTTTTAACCTGTTAATTGTCCTGAACGAAGATTGGTCGTATTCGGCTTAAATGCAGCAAGTCGAGAAACGGGTAGCAAATTGTTGATGACTGGTGAAAGTAAGGAGAGAATATTGTTCTGGTGGAGCAGGTCAGGGCATGAAAGACAACAACAATGAAATCAGCTGGGTTAACGGATTGTACTA